GGGGGGGGGGGCTCCGGCAAAGAGCCATATGAGGAGAGGGTGCATGCTGGCTGGAGACCCCAGAGAGGCACCCGAGGCCCTCTTTGAGACAACTTGCAAGTCTTCCCATAATTGAACTGTGGTCCTGAGTTTTTTCCTCCGCTGCCTGGGAGACACCCCTGTGCGTGCCCTCTGGCTCTGGTGCTTCTGCTCTATCCGTCATCCTCTGGACAGGCCACCTCTGGCCACTGCTTGGACTGCCTCCGTCCCCAGGTGCCCCTGTCCTGCTACGTCCACCAGGATCCTCCCGGCCTTCCCGCCTCCCCTAGCTCCTGATGCACCAGTGGCCGTGGCTTTGGCCGGGTGCTCAGCCTCCTTGCTGTGTCTGGGCATCTGGGCATCCGCCCCAGCAGCTGTTTGGGACCCAGGCCCCCATCACTTCCGTGCATTTTCCCACAATGCTCAGTGTGGTGTAGACTTTCAGGAGAGGGTCGGTACTTGATTTGTCTTTGCAGTTTCCATAGCTAGGGTCTTTGTCCCCGTGAGTCATTTTTGTAGCAAAAGACAAAACTCCAGCTCCCTGGTCTGTACTGGTTCTTCAGTGGGTCTTCCTATCCCAGAATTTCTTCTTCATGGGAAAGGTGCTGACACCCCGTCTTCCTCCCCTCTAACCCGGGAACCCCTCGCTTGGCCTGTTACAGTCCGTCAGCCCTGAAATCCCCACCTACCCACCCTAGCCGACCACACTGCCCCTCACCCGGGCCCCTTCGGGACTTGGGCGTGGCCCCCAGTTCTGTGGTCAGATGTTGCGTCAACTTCCCTGATGGTGGTGTCCCGTGGGCGCCCACTGATGAGCACGGCCTCCTGTCACCTAGACCTTAGGTGGGGGGTGTGGAGCAGTCCCATCCCAGAGCCATGACTCGACCCAGTGTCAGGCCCGGTTCTTGATAGGGAGCTGGGCCACGCTGCTGGAGCCCCCCAGGCTGGCACCCTGAGCCCCCTTCTTTCTTGTCCTGCTTGCTTTCACTGTTCCTTTCACCCCGTGCTAAAACTGATAGACCTTTTCCAGGCTAGAGGCTCTGGTGCTGAATGAGGTAGACCCGTCATGGAGCTCCTGGTCTAGCATAGTAATTCTCAGCCCTGCTGAGCGCTTTGTAAAAATGCAGGTGTCCACGCACCCTGACAGTTTTGTGTGGTAACCCCGCATTAGAGTCGAGGCATCCGGAGGTTGTTACAGGCGCAGTGTTGCGTCCAACACCCGGCCAAGAACACAGGCTACCTGCCTCGGTCCGTTTGGGCTGTTGTAACAAACTACCAGAGACGGGCTGGCTTATAAACAAGAGAAAGTTATAGTTCTCGCAGCTCTATAGGCTGGGAAGTCCAAGATCTCGGTGCTGGCAGATTCAGCCTCTGGGGGAGGGACCACTTCCTGGTTCGCAGACGGCCATCTTCTCGCTGTGTCCTCACATGGCAGAAGGGGTGAGGGAGCTCTCAGCAGTCACTATAAGGGCGCTAAGGCCCAGGCGCAAGGGCTCCACCCTAGTGACCTGACCACCTCCCCGAGGCCCCACCTCCCAATAGCACACACTGAGGGTTAGGAATTTGGGAGACACATTCGGTCCCTTGTTGTGCCCTGTGCTGAGCACTCTCTCTCAAGCTGGCCCCCTGCCCGTCCGTCCAGCCTCCCCTCTGCCTACCCTGGATTCCACCGTGCCGATTTTTCTCACCAGCCCCCAGACGGGCCGGGCTCACTCTCACCTTTTTGTCTTTACCTATGCCCCTCCTCTGGCCAGAATCCCTCTCCTCCCTCAGGACTACCTGGCATGTCTTAGGACCACCCTTAAGCCTCACCTCTTGAGAGGCGTCTGGGTGGCACAGTCAGTTAAGCATCCAACTTCGGCTCAGGTCATGATTTCGCAGTTCGTGGGTTCGAGCCCTGCGTCAGGTTCTGTGCTGACAGCTCAGAGCCTGGAGCCTGCTTCGGATTCTGTGTCTGCCTCTCTCTCTGCCCCTCCCCCACTCGTGTTCTCGCTCTCTCTCTCTCTCTCTCAAAAATAAACTTTAAAAAAAAAAAAAACCTCATCTCTTGAAACCTCTCTGGTTCCCTGGCTAGTTGGTACCTATTCCTCTGTGCTCTCTCAACACAGCTGTCTTCTAGCATCGTTAGCCTCCAAGAGACCAAGGGCCTACTGGGACAGAGACCTTGTTTGATACCTGAATCCATAGCAGTGAGCACTGGAGCATGGGCTGAGCACCGAGTAGGCCCCTGGCGAAGACTGGTCATTGAGACCCTGCGTAGGCCTGGACACCGCCCACCTTCCTTCTGCTTGGACAGGCACACGGGCCCCAGTAGACGCTGGTGGCACTTTGGGTCTGCTGTTGGCTCCACCGGAGGTGTTCACAGCTAGAACAAAATGCAAAGCACTCACGAGCGTACGAAAGGATGGGATGGCAAACTGGGAGGGCACGTCGGGTCAGAAAGCAAGTCAGAGATCCGAAGGCCATGGTTCACAGTTGCTTTTGGATTCACAAGAACCAAATGTAGATTACCAGTGCTTCCTAACAATAGTATTGGTAAGAGAATAAAATAAAACGATTCTAGTTTAAACAGTAGCCAGTGACATTCAGAGCTGCAGACCTTGATCTGGAAAAACTGAGCTGTGGGGTGTGAAGCCCGTTAGTAAAACTTCGCAAAGGCCCAAGGTGTTACTGGGAAATTTTAACGTAGACCAAACGGGAATGGGCAAGTCAAATCCTAACTGTAGTATTTACATAGGAAAGAACAGATTCAGTGAAAACCACATCACTGAGATGAAAGCAGAAAGATCATTAGGAACAGCCTAACTGTCTACTGGGGAAAATCATTTACTTTTCCACAGGAAAACTCATTGTCCATAAGTATCCATCGGTGTTGGCGTGATTCTGAACAGAGTCCACGTGTTGTTGGGATGAGACTGTCCTGTCTGTGTGAGTGTGTGTGTGTGTGTGTGTGTGTGTGTGTGTG